ATAGTACTTACGATAAGTAATATTAGCTTTAAAGTTTGAGAAATTTTAACAAATAAGGCTTTTCCTTCCTTTATTCTGCTTTTCTCTCGAATTTTCTTATTTTCCTCCTTATTTTTCTTCCGCCATAAGCATATCCATTTCCTTCCTTCTTCATCGTCTTAATTTGGTTGGTATTCCTTCATGAAAGATAGAACTACGAGCGAGTCACCAGCAACAACCGGGCATTATGACAAGTTTAATCAATGGACAGGAATGGAACCTATGACTTTGATTTTAGTCCTAGCAAAATACCACTCGAGCATCCATCCTATACATAAAGGCGTTGCAGTGCAATAAAATTTTCAGAAAGCGTAAAATATGCAAAGAAAAACAAATTCATACTGCGCCATGCATCATCATTTTCATGTTCTCGCTTAACGCGATTGCAATCATCTTTGCAAAATTATTTAATCTTTGTAAATCAAAATTGTAATGAATTTAACATCAAAAAGTGAGCGATTAAGCGATTAGCTCGTAACATTTCTAATTAGACTAACTCTTTTGGCAAAAGCACACGTAGGTCGCCATCAGCGCCACTCCGATCTTTGATAACCCAGCGGAAACCCGTTTAATGAGCCTTTCAATGATAACCCAGCGGTAGGTACCAAATCCCTGTATTTCAATAATCCTGCCGCGAAGCGGCGAATGCAAGTGCTTTGGACCGCAAATCGAAAAAGAAATTCAAACTGCAGACTCAGTTCAATAGTTCATATCAATATCAACAAGATCAACAAGAGAGTCAGCGGATTCACAAAATAAAGCCGATAACAAAGAGACAAACTGAAGTCGGATAACGCTCACCATAGGGCCAATAAAATGGAATTGCCTACAAATGACAACATTCGATGACTCGTGTAAATAAATAGCTCTGAGAATGGGCCTCTTGCAGGAGTCAAGGACTAGCCGGCCTAAAAGGTGGTTTTTGAGTTCGGAGCATTATCTCATGCTGTCCGGATGATCTCCACATAAAAAGTAAGTAAGAATGAATCAATCTATGAACATAGAAGAATCAATATTTCTGGTTCGACTGGCCGGCTCCACCGGCTATTTCACAGCCATAAATTTAAGAAAAATCATATAAGTTTTGGTCCAACGACGTCCGATTCAATTCTTTGGTTCGTTGCTCCAAACGCGAATCGCGATAATAAGCTTTTCAAAAGAAGTCAAATGCAACAAGTCAAATGACAACGAGAATCAAAAATTTCTCATCATTGAAGCTCGTATAACCCTACATTAAAAAGTTGTCTAATGCCATATTATTTTCGCTGTTTGCGATATCCACGAAGATTTTCAAAAAGCTGAGGGAAAGGCAGAATTACTTTACAATTCGTTTTCGAGAATTACATATTACTTGCTTCAATTGCGATATGAACGTCTTCGCTGACAGCATATTTCTTCGCATATTTGATCGAAAATCTCTCGCGAACATTTCGACTGTACTAGAAACTATCTTCTAGGAAAAAGAGATGGAGTTTACTCCGCTTTATGAAAATCTTGGACGTCAAAGCGGAAATAAAGAAACTTTGTAACATTTTAATTTTTTTATCTGGTAATAGCCACAGCGATTAGTATAATTGTTTCGATTCCCTGCATCGATAGGAGTAAACTTGCAACGAGTGATGCTGGCGATCCGTCTCTACTTCTTTCAAATGGATTTCTTGACGGAAAAATTTTCAACTGTAATAACAGCCTGAATTCCGCGTAATGTTGGCATCCAAGATTTTCGTAAAGCGAAGTATTTACTTGTACTTCTACGCAATGCCTGGCTATCCGACAAGCCAAGTCTAATCAGCAATGCTTTTTCAAACAGCCTATAGTAGACCAGCTATATAGAAGATATTTTATCATTTGATTATATTATATTTGATTATAATCTCATAATTTTGTTTATTATCTACTATTATTAAGCAATATACCATTGCTATTGCGTTATCTTCTTCTACGAATCAGGTATGAATTTTATTTCATAAAATTAATTAAATTTTAATTTTAATCAAATCTTAGTTTTAATTTAATCTTCTTCTACGAATCAAACGAATTTTTTTTTTCTTAAAACTTTTTAAATTTTCTTTAAATTTCTCTTCTTTTAAATTTAATTATTTCTATTCCCCTTCTTTGGCAGGAATAAACCTGTCATGATGTCAAAAATCCGAGTGAACGCTGGGGGTTCAGCTGTATCTCTATCCCAAAATAATTCTATGATGAAGAGGTCTCTTTGATGCGATATTTTCCGACGCGCATAATACTCCTAGCCTGGTGGTACATGCGATAAGTATACAATCCGGGAAAGCGATCCCAAGGCTGATAAAATGTTCTCGCAGAACAGAGGTACTAGGTATATCACTGTGGTGCTTCGGGATGAAATGGCGTAGCGTCTGACAAAGCCCATTCCGTCTTGATTGAGTGGAAATCGGTAAGCGAACATATGGCCTATGCCCGTTTCAAAGGTAAATTCTGCAATATTTCAGTTATCAGTGCTATGCTCCAACTTTGTCGGCAGATGATCTTTTTCTTAAAGAGCCCTCACCATTACTGGTTAAAATCGCTCCACTGGCTTGTCGCATTGGGCAATATGCCAGGGAGTCCCCTGGCGATAGAAATAGAGGTAAGCGCCAGCATTACCCGAATTTTTGTGCAGGTTTATTCCTCCAGTTGAACCTCAGCATCAGCGCTCCCAATTGAGCAACAACCCAATGAGCCATTCTATCCCCAAGTCCAGGCTCATTTAACAAGGCTATTTCACCAGGACGTTCGATCCTCTATTCATTTAGGAGATGCGGTTTCCCTTTATGTACGTTCTATAGGACTACTGAGATATTTGTTTTTCCAATTTTCTAATATTTTGAGAGTATTGAGAGTATTGTTTTTCCAATTTTCTAATATTTTGAGACCAATATTTAACTAATTTATCTTTAGTATTCAATGGGTGGGAAATGAATTCATCTTGCTTACTACCTTCATACTACCTTGTTGGTATCACTAATAGAACGTTGGGTGAAATAAAATCAATAGGTCTTATGATTTTATAACCATCAAAATTTAAGTTAATTAATGGACGGATTAGGTATTACTTCAATTTCCACTGTTAATGTGATTAATTCCCTTTCCCATAAAAGTTTCCTATCTAATGCTCTCCGGAGATTCCATATCATCCTCTTTGAAGCTAGGATATTTCTACTTTGAACCATAATAGCTTTGAATACCAATTGAAATTGAAATTGTCGCAAGTTTAGGATATCGGCATCGCGATACAAATCTGTAAAACACATGCATGAATATTTTTGCTGATAAGTTTTCTACAGGTTCTAAGTGCACTGCTCGCATAGTAAAACAGGGGAAGAACGCTATTTGCCTTTTGACTACTCCATTGTCAGTTCTGATTGAAAGTGGTCCCAAATAGTCAAGACCAACCAATTCGAAGATTCTTGATTTTCTGACAAGGGATTCTGATATATTTGGCATCGACGATGGCATTGAATGGTTTAGCTTTCCATCGTTTACAAGCCATGCATCGCTTTATAATTCGCTCCACTGCAGATCTGGCACTTGATACCCAAAATCTTTGCCTTAATTCACATAATGTGTCCAACTCCTGTAGTTCTGCTTAATAAGTTCAGTAATACGGTTGTGATTTGGTAAACAGGAAATTTATTTTCCATATTTAATTCTGCATTTTCTAGACGACTTCTTAATCGCAATAAATCATCCTTTTCATCGAGATATAGATTCCATGTTCAGTCTACTTGTTGTTCGGTTATTCCATCGGATTGTGCTTGTTTTGTTAATATCCACTCTGATATATCATAGTTGTTTTTGGTCGTAAAATCTTTATCAGTAGACATCGATTGTAACCATGCTACTTTTTCCTTGACAATTAGCTTAATAAATTTAAAAGCCCACTGGGTTGCTCTTAGTAACCGAGTCCATTTACTAAAATGGCTCGCATGGAAATTTTTTGAATTAAAAATTCGTTTTACTTTCATAACTGTTGCCATAACAGCACTATTGAATTCGTCATTTCCAGCATATCTGAATTTCCATTGCGGCCATTCAGTTTTTTCTTTTACCAGCCATTTCGGGCCTTCCCACCATGATTCGCAAATTCGTAGTTTGATTGGTGAAATTCCTCTGGTTGCTACATCCACGGGATTATGTTCACTTGGTATGTACCGAAAGGTAAAATCTGCCTTTCGTATTTCTTCAACTCGATTTTGAACGAATCGAGGAAGCAATTTTGAATAATTTTTAATCCAAAATAAAGCATATTTTGAGTCCGACCATAAAGTCACAGGTATATCTTTCAATTCAAATTGTTTTTGTTCTTTGTTATATTGTCATGTAAGTTGAAAATTGATTCCTGATGTAATCGTTTGACCAAATTTTTAGACATCCCAAGCATAGTCCAAAATTGTTGCTTAATTTATCCTTTGATTCTTTCCATGGCCATCTCACTCGATATCTATCGCTATATTCCGTTATGAATCACCTAAACTGCCTCGTTACCGCCGTCGACATTAGGTTATTCTATTCTTCCTATTCCCATATTTCTAGCTTCCAAAAATTTTCTATTTCTGACACGGAGTTTAAGGTGGCTGTACAAATTGTATTAGAAATATGTATTGTGCCCGTTTGGCAAAGTTGATTTAGTTCGCCAATCATCGGTCCAACTTTCGTATGAGAATCCGGATTTTAGTTTTTCGATTTTATTCAATTCTAAATATCGGGTTTTCTCCAATAATTTTTTAAGTTCATCGTTTGATTGGCTATCGGTATTTTAACAAAATGCATAATTCATTGGTCAGATATTCGATTACATCAGCGCATATTACGATAATCTCATCTTCATTAATTCGTATCTTGAGCTGCGCTTGAGTTCCTCTATATGATTTAGGGTTTCGAATACCGAAAGGAGCTAATTTTAATGCTTGTTCATCAGTTTTCTGTTAAGTCTAGTCGCTCAACTAATTCCTTATAAAAGGTAACTGTGACCCAATGTCAAATAGTGCTAAAACTTCTTCCTTTCGTTCTGTTTGTAATGGGTTAAATATAGTTATCTCCTGACATAGCAGCAAGGTTTCTTCATCTTGTTTCTTACTTACTGCATTCGTTTGAGTCATCATTGTCGGATTGTAATTAGCTGAACAATCTTCCAATTTGTTAAATTCTTCGTTCGTCTGGCTCTTGTTAAGGCGAAACGTTTTGTTCGGATGTTGTTGATTTCTTTTTTCACATAGGGCACTGCTATGAGAAGCCTTGTAGTAGAAACAAGCTTTCTTTTGCATTCTTCGCCTTGATGTGTCTTCAAACAAATAATATCTTATATATTACACATTTCTTCATCTCCTTGAGATGTTTCGAATATTCATTGTGGGATATACTTGACATTCAATATCCCAATGATTTTGACTAAACGGTTTTTTCTGTTTGATTTCGCTTTTCATTCCTGTAGAATAAGGAATCGTCTTTTCGTTGTGGATGGTTGCTAATGCTGAGGTTTCATTATAGCTTCTTGGATTCTGCTTAGTCTTAAATAAATAAGATATAGGTCTTCTCCATATGAATAAATAAGAATTGATTTCTTATCTGTTCATTGATATTGATTAAATTCCCAAGAAATAATCTTCTAAGCGTTGATACTGACCATAGACTATCGACTATTTTTTGGTGGCATATTCGTCAAGTATCCATCGTGGCTTTTGACTATGGTTTCGACTAGTGTATTCTAAGTTTTTTCCTAGTACTTCTAATTGTCGGAAAATTCTTTCCATTTTCTCTACTGCTTCAATCGATTCTTTTTCATTTTGTTTGATGGATTGTGGTTCGTTGTATAGTAGTTTATTAATAGTCGATAAGTAGTCATATTTCTCGGTATTTTTCGTACGATTTCATAATTTTCTGGAGCTATGTCATGACCCCTTGCGGCATGCAGTGCTGTTCCTTTTAGGCAGGATATTAAGTAGTTCAATTTCTGGATTTCTGGGAGCTTGGGAGTGAACGGCAGCATTAAAGCTGCTCCAGAATTCTCTCCAGTGTCATGGATCACCACTGAAAGCGGCAAGAACAATTGGAGAAGATGGACATTTGGGTAAGGAATTGCCTTCGGTGATTTCTTGGATCAAGGTTAATGTCAATTTCTTTCTTTATTTCTTTATTTCAATTTCTTTATTTCATTGTCCATCTCCTTTTTATACATAGACAATGTGATAATCGCTTCGTTCGCTTCATATATCAACTTGAAGATTCCTTTTTCCTCTTTTGTCACTTCTTCGTATTTTTCTTCCTCCTTCTTTCATATCACATTAAAAGATTTCTATTTGTATTTAATCCATTTGTTGTTCGCTATTCGATTAAATTGATGCACGTTTATAATCGCAAGAATTTTTCTTCGAGGAGCCGTCCTTTGGCTTCGCACAATTGAAGTCGTTCTTTTGTAATTTGGTTCCGGAAGTTTGATGTCTAATGCCGTCTTTGCGAAAGAGTCTTTCCAATTTCTCCTTTAAAAGTTGAATACTTTCTACTATTAGTTATTACTTACTTAATATGACTTCACCCCGTGCACCAAAAAATTTTGTGTCGTGAAGACTTTTGTTAAATTCAGATATTGAAAATTTTTGAAAGGATGGTTTCACGAATTAGATTTAGAATGTAGTTGTAAGTTTTATTACTGCCCAGATAGAAATATAATAGAACGACGCGCAAAATAATATATGGACATGAATATAGCGAATTAAAAAGTAGAAAAAAAAGGACGTAGCAAAGTTACCACTACAAATAAAGTCAACATTGAACACTGACCCGATGAAATGATGAAAACGCTTATAATTTTATGATAGAATCATTTTAAAATTTCTGACATTGTTTCTTCACAAAGCAACTATAACTCGAGAAAAAATCAGTGAAATGATACGGGATATTAATGGGCCGCCTATTAAGGCTATTAAGGATTACCTCTTAAGATGGAAAGAATTTTGAGGCCAACCCCAC